TAAAATCATTGTCCTACCTAGGGTTTGCATACACAGGCAGAATCGTTCCTTAAATTCCCTAAAGCACTTCAAGGCAAATTTCTGGAAGTACTAGGAGGTCTTCAGCTAATTTTGGATGCTTTCTGCTCAGCTGTCATACTGGTACTGCCAAAGTCCAACCAGTGTCCAACAGCCTGGCCTTAAACCTCTCCCTGGAATAGGGTCAGTCTGGGCTAACAGTCCTGTGACTGACTGTGGCTGAATCCTGGAATGGTTTGGGTGGGAAGAGATCTTAAAGATCACCTCATTCCAGCCTCCTGCCATGGGCAAGGACACCTTCCACTAGACCAGGTTGCTCCAAGCCCTGTACAAGCTGGCCTTGAACACTTCCAGGGATGGGGCATCCATGATTTCCCTGGGCAGTCTGTGCCAGGGCCTCATCCAGCAGCTCAGATGCTTCCCAGGAAACTAAACCCGCCGTTCTGTGTCAAAACCAGAACTGACAGCATGTCCTTGCATTGCTTCACTTCATCCCATAAAAAAGCTGGCCACTAGGTTGTTCCCAAGCTTTCCATCAGCCCTTCCCTGCTTTAGCAGTCCCCCATATCCCTTTCAAGCATCTTTTCCTCCTCCAGTGGTCTGGGTACAGCCGGCTATTGCATAACCCTAATTATGTGATTGCTGTAATTGCTCTGCCGTCTGCAGCTCATGGATTCGTTACAAGCTTTTCATATGCTAAAATGATTATTAATGAGCGCAGTCCCAACCCAGCGACAAACAACAACCACGACAAAAAGATCTTTTGGAAGGCAATTAGCTCCATGCTAAGCTGCCTAAACCATGGGCTGGGCTGGAAAATTTCGGGCTGGAGAGGAAGCACTGGCAACATGGCTTTTCTCTTCTCTTTTGTTGAGTTAATGAGTTACTGAGTGGCGGCAGGCACAGTTTTTCTGGTGAAACAGCTCCCCTAAGGAGCCTTTCCAGGTTGGTACTGAAGGAAAGAGCATTTACCACTGGATAAACATGTATTCCCAGGTCATTGTGATGTATTCCCAGGTCGCTGTTGTATTGCTTTCCTTGGGAAAACAAAGCAAAACAAAAGAAAACAAAGACAACTCAGGGAAAGAGGAGGTTGTGGAACAAAAGGGAACAACTATTCTTTAGGACTCAATACGGGTGCATCCCAAATCCTTCTCCATATTTCAGTGGCACTGGATGGTCTCATGGGCTCTCCACTCCAAGCCAGGCTGGGGTAAGTTGCTGTGCTAAAATGATACCTGTGAGGTCACATCCCAAGGCCTGGTTACCCTCACATCCTCCATCTGAGTTGATAATGTGCTGGAATGATGGACTTATCTGAGTTCCTCATTACTTTTATTGCTTCTGAAATCTAGTGAACAAATTTCCTGTCATATCAGAGGATAAACAGCCTTGAGGTGAGAATGGAGGCCGTTCCTGGGACTCAGAGGAAACTGGAACACATAAGGCTGGATCTTTTGATTTCTGGCTCAGGATTTTCTGGAAACAGCTGGGAAAGAATCCATTGGAAGTAACCAAAACTGGAGAAGGGGAGCAGTAGCAAGTGATGCACATCTGACCAAGTAGTCACCGTCTTCTACTTCAGACTCTCACTCTGACCCTTTGGGTGCAGGTTAAGGTGAATTTGCTGCTTTGCCACCTTTCTGTCTCATTCAGAGGGAGTCTGGTTTAGTCTTGTGTTCTCAGCCTCCTGCTGGCTTTGGAAGTGTGAGCCAGCGACCTGTCCAGGTCTCAGGTGAGATCTGAGCCCTCAGCTTGGTGTTGCTCACCGGTGACAGAGCATCCCATTCCCCCTGGAATTACCTCACAGCTCTGCTCTGGTGTGAGGGAGAGCTGTCAGCTGCAGGGTCTGAGGGAAGCAGCACAAAGACACACAGGCTGCAAATTCCAGCAGTGCAAATGCAAGGACCTCTGGGGTTTGGTGACAGCTTTTGCATTAGGGGGATGCAAATGGCAGAGAGGCCCTAAGTGCCTCTGAGGATCCCGGCTCAAATAGAAGGTAAATAAAGACTCAGCAGGGATGTTGTCATCCCCCTGCTAGGCTGCTTTAATATACACATCCATCATTTCTTTAGAGAGTGCAATGATGGCTTCATTAGAAACTCTTCTGTGTAAATAAGTTATTGGGCCACTGCAGAATTCGGGTGGAAGGATGTTATGTCTTCTCCCTCAGATAGGTTTGGTTATTGATACATGCTTTTTTTCCTCCCTTCTTCTTCTTTTATTTTTGCCACAAAACACATTCCCACAATATCTTGGTGTGCAGCCTTAACGGGAAATGACTGCTCAGGTGTGTGATGCCAGGGAATTGAGTCTGGAGACCAGGACACTTTGGTCTGATGGTGGGTAATGGCCCGTGAACCCAGAACACTGAGATCACAGCTGGAGAGTCTGTCATGGCCACAGAGGCCTCCAGGCCCTGAAACTCTGATTCTTGAAGCTCAGATCTGTGCATCCCATCCCTCTCTCCAGGGAGTGTTTCCTGTAGCTTTTCCTTGCTCAGATGAGTCATGGGAGTGTTGTGATGCTGGAAAATGATCTCTGAAGGGCTGGAAAGGGATAGGGAGCTTTCAGACCCTCATGAGTCACAGACTCAAGAGGCTTCTGCTACCAGGTGGAAGGGAAACAGGAGAAACTTGGAGAAGCAGATGATAAGTGTCTGTGCTCTGCTTTTTGGGAGCAGCCTGTCCCTACACCCACCACCCTGCCACCATTTGATGACAGCTGAACAAGAGAGGAAAGGGAACATTTCGACTGGTTGTCAGAGCCAGACTGGCACCTCTGCTTTCCTCCACCTGCCTCGTTTATTTTTGCTGTGATTTAATACCCTTCCCTTCTCATTTCACCCAACAGGAGGAGCTGGGCTCTTCTCCATGGGCTCTTCTCCATGGGCTCTTCTGAGGCACCATAAATCAAAGCATTTCACTGCACTGCAGCCTGTTTTCTCCACAAGTCTGTCAACTGTGCTGGTTGCACGTGGATGTAGGGGGTTTTTTTTGGATGCCCAGGTGCACCTTGCTTTTTTGACCATAGGATTCCTTGTTTTCTCAGCAATGTCACGGATGCCACCAGTTCCTGACAATCTTGTCCAGGTAGCACAGATCTGATTTTGGCCAGCAGCTGATGCTGAGACTTGTTTGAGTTTTTCTGGAAGTAGTAAAGGTCTAGAAATATTCATTCATCCTGCTCACCGTCTCCTTCTGGAGGTAATTTCTCGGGGAAGGTCCTCTTGGCATCTCTAAATGTCTGCTTTACTCCCAGGCAGCTCCTCAGATGTGCCTGGGGATGGAGGGTTAGACAGAGCGTAAAGTAAAACCAAGCCCAGACTCAGAGTACTGGGAGTGAGCAATATTTAGACCATGGGACTGAGTTAGACTGGTATTTTTGGCTGCTCCTGAGCCCAGCAGACAAGATGCCAGAACTCCAGAGAGAGTAATGCTTTTGTGCCTGCTGGAAGTTGCAGTAAAATTAATGAGGTTTGCATGAGCTTTTATGATGAACCAGAGTCTGGCTCTGGAAGGAGTCAGGTAAGAGGACTTTGCATAGAGCTGGGAGAAGAAAATCTGCCTCATGTGCCTTCATCTCCCAAGGGTTACATCAGCATCCCACCACCAAAACCAGGATAGCAACTGAGACCAGTTGCAGTAAACCAGGATGGGACTGCAGGGCACAAAACCAGACTTTGCAAAGCTGGATGTGGAGGGGTTTCCCCCTGTGCTCTTGCTCTGTGCTGCCTTTCACAGGAGGCTCCAGCAGCTGCTCACCCCACTCTATCATAGAGTATTTTCCCTCTCATCTGCATGAAGAATCTTAGCATACAGCACTTCAATGTCCAATTTCTCTGCAGTGGAAAACAGGCTCCATCTCAGCAGGTGTCTCAGTGCTGTTTACAGGACACCTGTCAGCTCTTTTGGCTCCCTGTCCCCTCTGCCTCCTAATTATAAAATCGTGGATTGATGCAGCTTTTTTTTTTTTCTTTCTTTCTTTTTTTTTTTCCTTGTGCACAAAATGTCAAATTGCAGAAATTAAAAATGTAAATGATGGAGTCTAATTAACCAGTTGACAGCGGAGCACAGCTGCAAATGACAGTGACTGATTACCTTCTGCAAACCTTGTCCTCCAAGACCTGCCTTACCCTGGAGAGGAAGGACATCAAAAATAGCAACTTCCTTAAAGAGACATCACTCTGCACATGAGGCCTGTTGGGCAACTGTTCTGGGGCATCCAAATCCTATGGATAAAACCCCAGACCTCTTGGGCACAGGTGGAATGGTGTTGATTGCTAAGGAAAGCAGATTTTTCTCCAGTCACAGTGGGGATGTGAGGGTTTAAGGCTGTTGCCAGAAACATCACCTTAAAATGTGGGGCAAAATGGGGATGCTGAGCAGCAGAAGAGTTGCTGGGTAGACTGGATTGAGTGGTGGAGATGGGTGATGTCAGCAGTGTGGGCAGATGTACTTGTGTGAATGGCACAAGCAATAATCAAGGGGTTTTTTTTTTGGGGGGGGGTTGTGGTTTTTTAGGTTTTTTTGGTTTTGTTTTGGGGTTTTTTGCTTTCTTTTTTGTTTATGGGAGTGAAATGCTGAGCCCTCAGTGGGGCTTCTCTGTGGGACTAGAGGCAGGGCTCAAAGTCCTTGAAGGCCAGATGAAGGAATCCAGCATTCCCTTCCTCCTGCTTCTCTGGTGGCATGGAGAACGTCCCCAGGATGCTCTTTGGGACTTCAATCTCAGCTTGGGATGGAGTGAATACAACACATGCCTGGTGCTCAGGATCAATACTTCAACAGTGTTTGATTTCTCTAAGCCATCTGCCTTGCTGTAAAAGGCATGACCAGGTATTTCATGACCAGGTATTTCACTGATGCCCCAGCAGAGCCCAAACTGCAAAATGTGGTTTTTCTCTTTATTGTTGGCGAATTTCGTCTCTTGACGAGTTGAAATTCTCTCTCCCCTCAATCAACCCCTGTATTTCTCTCTCTCAGGTACTACTCAGACATTGCCAAAATGCCAGCCATCAGTGACCAGGACATGAATGCCTACCTGGCTGAGCAGTCCCGCATGCACATGAACGAGTTCAACACCATGAGCGCGCTCTCAGAGATCTACTCCTACGTGGGCAAGTACAGCGAGGAGGTGAGAGCCTTGCAGAGGTTCTGAGGGACCATGGCACAGCCCACCCATGTATCACAGATGCCTATCTTCATCCTGGCTAGGGGGGGTGATGGGTTTATGGGATGAGAAGCAAGGCTTGGGGCCTGTAAAAGGGAAGGTCTGGGATTTTCGGTCTCCACAGCACTCTTCTGTCTGGATCACTGTTGTTTTTATCTCCTGCTATTGGTCAATCAGGTTTAGCTGGCTTGCAGTAGATGATGGTCTGCTTGGTGCAGAGGAGCCATGCATGAGCTCTGCATCTCCTGTGGCCAGAAGTGGTTTAAGAACATGTGGCCAAAATTTGTTTACGAACATGTGGCCAATGCCATTCCAGATACCCTAAAGCACCCAAGAATGGTCCAGCAGGCATGACACAGACTTTAAGGTGTCCAGCATGGTTCTGTGCATTGAAGGCCAGGTGAGACCCCTTAGGGCATCTCAAGTGGCATGGCCAGGTGATGAATAAAGCTATTAAATAACTGATCTCCAAGACAAGAATCTGTTTGACTGGTTGAAATCTAAAGGTCTGTATTTAGTGAGATCAAGCCCAAACTGCCTGCCTAGTTCCCTGCTGGCCGACTGACCTGCTTTGCATGATCTAAGCTAAGCCTGAGACTTACCTTAAAGAAAGCTAATCCTCATCTGCTGCTATAAGGTGCTGGACTCAGTTGTTTGGGGGAAAAAAAAAATAAACCCTATCACTTTTTCCTCTTTCCTTTTCCAGATTCTCGGAGCCCTCGATCAAGATGACCAGGCTGGGAAACAGAAACTTGCCTACAAACTTGAACAAGTCATAACCCTCATGAGCATAGACAGCTGAGAACTGTCCTGCCAGGGCCACCCTGGGAGGGATAAACCAAGTCGTGCCTCACTCAAGATCATCATCTTTACCAAGTGCAAGTTTTGATGGGCTGTAAGCAGAGTCACCCACACAGCTCCTCTCTCTCTCTCTCATTCTCTCTTTCTCTCCCTCATTTCTCTCTCTTTCCAAATCTATGGACGAAGTGACAGAGCCCCAGGGGTTAAAGGAAAAGACTGCAGAGGAATCTTGGCTCTGGGGCCATGGGGACATTCAGGTGGAGCTCTCCTTTTCACAGCTTCCCCTCTGCCTTCACCCTAGAGAAAAACTATTAAACACACAAAAAAACACCCCCCACGAACCCTCCCCCAACATCTCATCATCACTCTGCAGAGGCGAAATTGGGAGGTAACTTCTGTCATGCTGCTTTAACTGCCCTCCAAGGGCTTGTAGCCCCTGGAGTGGACATGGAAATGAACTCAGTATTACTCAAAGTCTCCCCAAGGGGAAGGCAGCTGCCTGCAGGGATCCTGGAGGGCAGAGCAAATCCAGCTCCTCTCCTGCAGAGCCATCACAACTCTATCTCCTGAGAGTGACCCACCAGGAGAGGAACCCCAAGGCTCCCTGGAAAACGCCAGAGTGGGACCACTGTGGCTCTGACCTGCCTGGTGTAGCTGCTCCCTTGGGGCAGGGAAAGGGTCAAGAGGGGAGGAGGAGACCAACCCTCCCCTGCCCATGTGTTTCATATGGTTATTCTTATTTTTCCAAGAGACACGTGTCCCCCGCCGTCTTTCCCGTCGTGTCCTGTTGGTCGTAGCACTGCGGCAAAATTGCTCTCTCTGCTCAGTGGCCTCCTGTCAGTGGTGGTTCTGCTCCTTCTGGCAATGGACAGCACAGCATCTCCCTTGTTCCCACCTCAGCTTGGAAAGCAAGAGCCACAGGTCTCATTTTGTTCCATCCTCAACAAAACAAACAAACAAACAAACAAACAAAAAACCAACAAACCACCTAGAGGGATTTTTTTTTTTTTAAAGCTGTTAATTCTTTCCATTTTGTTTCCTCAACTGGAACAAAGGTGTTGTTTTCTCCTGGTGGAATATCAGAAGGACACTGAAGGGTTTGCCAGGAACCAAGGTGGTGCACAGGACTGATGGTAAAACCTTCCTTCCAAGCCACTCCTAAGAGGAAATGTCACCACACGTGAAAAAATCTTGGAGGAAATCCAAATGAAACAGTGCAAAAAAATTCTTCTACCTGCAGCTGAACTGCTGGTCTTCTGGAGGTCTCTCTGAAGCCCATCTGCCTTTTGATGCCAATTCCTGGCCTTTCCTCCTGTCCACCTCTGGAACCAACAGGCCTTGCTGAGGGATTTTATCTCTCTTTGCACCTCTTACCCCTTCAGAGATCACTGTCACCACAGGACAATTGTAGGTGATCCCCCTGTCCCATCCTCTGCTCAGCTCCTCCAGAACAACATCTCAACCTGTTTCATGGCAAACCAAAGAGGAGTGAACTCCTCCATCTCCCCTGCCTTTGGCTGTTCTGTTCACACAGCCTGGATAACACCATGGTTAGAGACCCTCGAGGTGTGGAGAACCTTGTACACCGTGGAGGCAAGAGCTGGGTCTGCATTCACCTCCCCAGAAACCAACAGAACTGACTCCCAGATGGAGGAGTGGCTGGAGAATCAGCCCACGTCCACCTCATCATCCTCAGAGCTCCAGCCTGAGTCTACTTTGCACCTGGAGGGAGAAAGGGGTAAAGACAGGGTGTGTAAAGTGATTGGAGAACAAGTGCATTTGGGTTTATTGATGCCTTTTGCTGTCCAACCAGAACCTCCTCAGAGTGACAGACCATGAGTGCATGGAAAAATGGGGGGGTGGGGGGTGCAAACAGGGGTCAGTCAGCGAGCAGGTTTCCCTCAGCCAAGCAGATACACACACAGGCAAGTGTTTCCAAAAACCATTTCCGACAGCAGTCCCAAACTGGATGTGTCTGTGGGGAGAACATCACAAAATTCACATTGAAACAGCAAACTTAGGGACACGTCTTGGTTTTAAAACCCCAGACATTTCTCTCTTGATTCTGATTATTATTTTTTGTATGTGTGTGTGTGTGTGTGTATCTGTGTGCGCGCGCGTGTGTTCCTCCCCTTTTAATTTTGCTTGCTTTCTGTTGGATTGCTGAGCTGATGGACTCATCATGCACCTTATGGACATCTCAGCATCTTTAAGAGGCCTGTGCACAGGGGATGGTTTGGGTTTGCTTGGTTCTGCCACGGTTCTTTTGCTCCATTTGGCGACGTCGGCGCATGTTCCAGATCCATTGATTATGGCTGTGAAAGTGGGCTTGGAATTCCCACCAGAGCCAGTGGTAAGGAAGTGACAACAACAACGACACAAACACGATATTTTTTTATAAGTACGTTAAAAAAAAAAAAAAAAAAAAGGGAAAAAATTAAAATTTAAAAAAAAAAAAAAAAAAGGAGAAGAAACCAAAGGTTTTGACAAACAAAGTGCCACAAAAAGATAAATATGGACCCTATTGTCATGCCTTGTTCTCACAGCTGGATGGTAGGAGTCTAAGGACAAGTAGCTGGCTTGGAGGGGAGTGGTGATGGGTGATGGGCAATCCTGCCTGGACATGTGCACATGGAAGGAAGAAGAAGCTGTTTAACATTAAAAAAAAAAAAAAAAAAAAGGTATCAAAATGAACTGGTGTGATCCTCCTGGAGTCAGAGGAACACCACAGGGGAAATCTGTGATCCTCCTGGAGTCAGAGGAACACCACAGGGGAAATCTGAGACTCACCCATGTTCTTTTCGCTGTTTTCAGGGCTGTGGTTTTGGTTTACTATGGTTGTTTCGTTTGCCATTGTTGTTATTTTGTTTCTTCTTGCTGGTACGGAGTTTTTCATCTGTATATTATATATATATATTTTTCGAGAAAAACTTGAACACCTCAGAGACACTGAGAATGAAACACTTAAAGGGAATGGGAAGCACCACAAGATTGGTGCCTTAACCCTTCCCAAGTTCCCATTTAGGCATTTCTGCTTTCTCTCCACCCTCTTCTTTCCCCCATGCCCAGGATTTGAAAGAAAATCTGCATTTTGCTTCTCTTTCATCTCCTCCTTATTATTTTTTCCTTCTTTCTGTTTCTCTTTATTTGGTGTTTGAGCTGGTTTTGGCTTTTTGCTTGGAAAATGTGCCAGAATTGTGATGTAAATGCGTGGGCTTCCTCCCCTGTCCCCTTCAGTGCCCTTCCCATTTCCAACCACTGTCCCAGCATCCCCCAGTCTATGAGAGGTCTTGGCATCTTTCTTCCCAGCCTCACCTGTTGAGCTTAACTATTTTTTAAGTGCATGTAAAATACAACTAAAAACAAAGACACAAGCAGAAGAATGAGCCCTACTACAACACGGATAAGTTCTTTTCCTTTGATTTCTTTTCCCCCACCTCCCTTTCCACACTTGACCAAAAATTCCCCAATAAATTGGTATTATTCCACCCTGTTTTTCAAGCCACATGGAGAGAACTGGAGCCAAAATCCCTAGAAGTCAATGGACAGGCTCTGAATACCCAGAATATGACAGGCTGATCTTCATGGGTGTTTCTCGAACACTGCAGTCAAATAATTGATGCTGACACTTTCAGCACCATCAGAAATGGGGAAAGGGAATTCATGGAGATTCTCTGAGGTTCTACTGAGAGAGCCAAGATTATTTCTCCACTGCAGGGTTTGCTCTGGGGCTTTGTGCCTGGTTTAGAGGAAGAAAAGGTGAACAATCCCTCTGCAGTCACGTCGTGTCCTCCCTGTGAGTGTGGTCACCTGTCAGTGCCACAGTGATCTGAGACATAATCCATCATGCCATGTGCTTTTGCAGACTGAGCCTTCCAGGCAACACCAGGAAACACCAGGAAACAGTGTGGGAAAAGTTGGGTGTGTCTGGAAGGAGGTGTTAGAGATTGTTTGCTCTCGAGCACACAGCACAGGAGAACAATGGAGAAGGAGAAATGCAGCCACCCAAGGTCACCTTCCTCTCCCAACACAGAATCATTTAGGTTGGAAAAGACCCCTAAGACCATTTAGGTTGGAAAAGACCTCTAAGGTCACAGAGTCCAAATGTTAAAACATTCCTCAGTCCTTCTCTTCCCACTCTTTATTCTGCCCTGGACATATCTGAAGGTTCGGTCCAACCCAGCATAGACCAGCCTTGCTCCAGTAGGTAAGAGGACTTCGTTTTCCCACTGCAGTTGTCTTGTCTCTCCTCTTTGACACTTAAGACCATAAAAATTATGAAGTCACGAAGATTCACCAGCACAAATTTTTTTTGGTATTTGCTTTGATTGAAAAGCAATTACCAAAGTTTGCAGATCTCGTGCATTAACCCCCAGAAACTGTTTACCAGGAAGGGAAAGAGACCAAGTAAATCACATAATTGTCATTATTTTTAATAATGCTGTTGAAAACTGATAGATAAAATCTGAAGAGTCCAGTGGTCAGTCTCAGTGTTGAGTCAGCCAACATAAGTATTACAAGTTCCTTCTAAGTCTGGGGTGCATGTGAGGTAAAAACCCGAGCACAGAACAGCTGATATCAAGAGAGAAGTTGAGAGAAGAGAGAAATGTAGGTCTGTCCTTCCCCAAGGCTTTAGTGAAGAGCTTTTCTTAGTGGGACATACATTTGTGTTTGAACAAGAGACACTTAAAAATCATAGAATGGTTTGGGTTGGAAGGGGCCTTAAAACTCATCTTGTTCCACCCCCCTGCCACGGGCAGGGACACCTTCCACTAGACCAGGTTTCTCAAAGCTCTGTCCAACCTAGTCTTGAACACTTCCAGGAATGGAAGTCCTTAAGTCCAAAGGCAATCTCAGACCAAAAAGAAAAGTCTGGCCTGTTGGAGATGACCAGGACTATTGTCTCATATCACCAGGGCTTCAGTAAAACAAGTCCTGCTTCACCCTTCCCAGCAGCCTGCAAAGGAATTACTCATGAAGCAGAGTCATCTGATAGTGTGGACACATTTCTTGATGCTGTAGAAGGAATGAGGGAGAGGAGAAAACTGATCCTCCTTCCCAAATTCCCAAGGTAGCTCTAGTGTGTAAGAGGTTTGCTCCTCCGTAGGAATCTGTTGCTTTCTGTGGTGACCATTGCTGATGGGACCAGATGAGCACTTTACTGGAACCCCAGTAGTCCCACCAAGGTGGGTTTGGTCCCTTTCTCCTCCCTGCTTCAGCACTGAGCTACAGAGGCCAGACAGAGAGCACTGAGTGGAAATGTTCATTGTGTTGTGACCAGTTCGTGCGGGTTTTGGGTGGCTCACCAAAAATTGCATCCAGGAGCCCAGTTTCCTTATACCTCACTCTTGAATGAGGATAAGAATATAAAAATCCAACTCTCAAATCAGTGTTGTTTAAACCTCTGAGATTCTGAGAACCACCCCCCTCCTGGGATGAGCAGGGGAGCCCAGGAATGGATCTCTTTCCCAAACCAAGGAGTTATGATCATTTATGATCAGAGCAGATTGTGTTCCTGTGTTGGCAGATGCCTCACCAGGGCAGCTGTTGGGTAAGGAAGTACTGGCATAGAATTATGGAATGGTTTGGATTGGAAGGGACCTTAAATACCATCTAATTCCAACCCTCTGCCATGGGCAGGGACACCTTCCACTATCCCAGGTTGCTCCAAGCTCTGTCCAACCTGGCCTTGAACACTTCCAGGATGGAGCATCCACAACTTCTCTGGGCAACCTAAAACCACCCACAGAGCCTTAGTGATTCCAGGACAATTCACTCTGTGCATCTGATGACTAGTAAGTTGTCCTCCAGGGCAGGTGGAGGTTTTGGGATATCCTAACTCTTCCCATCCAGTCTTGGTCTGATGAAACACGTGAACTTCAGCCTCATGGTGTGAACCTCAACCTTCTGGTCATTCCCAGCCTGACTTTTCCTGATTTGCAGC